TGTGTTTTGCTGTGCTCAAATTGCTTCATTTACTCAAACAGATTAAGTTAATAGTACTCATTAGGATTTGTTTTTGAACTTAAATGTTTTTTGCAGTTGGTTTCCTCAAACAATTTGATTTACTTTAACTTTTTGGGTTTTACAGTGTACTAATAAAGAGATAGTTCACCCCAAAATTAAAATTTACCCATTTATTCTTTCACAATTGTTTCAAAGCTTTATAACTTTCTTTCTTTTGTTGAACACTTAAGGAGATCTTTTTAAGAAAGCTGAAATGCCCAGCTGGTAAGCGCAAAAAGGAACGGCGTCATACTGCCCAATATCGTTTGTTTTATAGATGAAATGCAGCCATATTTACTTTTGGCTATGTAATTTGTGATCGAAAGAAATGTATATAGGGCTACATTTTTAGAATGGTTAAAGGTTTTCAACAGTCTTCAAAATATCTTCTTTTGTGTTTAACAGATGATTGAAAGTCAAACTGGTTTGGAAGAAGTGATGGATGAGTAAATGATGGCAGAAGTTTTATTTTTGGGTGAGCTATCCCTTCAACTTGTTCCAAACCAATTTGAGATATTTTGGAAACCAGTAACTATTGACCTCCATAGAAGGAAAATCAAATGCCATGGAAGTCAGTGGTTAGATTCTGAAATCATAGCGCTATATACATTTCTAGGGTGCTCCAAATATATCAAAGGACGTAATTTTTTTTGCAGTTTTTGTTTTCACAAATCCACCAGAGGCCAATGTCGATTGACTGACTGACTAAATGACTGACTAAATGACTGACGGGTCGACTGATGTACCTCCTTCTTCTCTAAACCCAACCAAGTGTTTTCAAAAGCATCGATTGACCAGCACCCACCACTTCCCTAAACCCAACTGACATTGAAAAGCAATCCAGAAAAAGAAAAGCCCTCGCCTAATTTTTAATACTTTTTCAGATTTTACCACATTCTCACCCTGTTATTTAATTGTTTATTTTACTTTTGGCTTTTGTTTTCGTCTTACCCACTTTCTGCAATCGTTCTTCGCTGGACTCCAACCCTGTCATCAAGGTCAGCTACTCTCCGAGCTAAATGGACAAACTGGTAACAGCAGGAAAGCAGTCCACATAGGGATAAATGGTCAGCTTGTAAGCGCAAAAAGGAATGGTGTCTTATCACCCCATAGCATTCATTTTACAGACGAAATGCAACCATACGTACTTCTGGCTACATTTTCAGAATGAGCCTATGTTGGTTAGAGGTTTTCAATAGTCTTCAAAATATCTTCTTTTGTGTTCAACAGAACAAAAACAACTCAAAATGGTTTCAAACAAGTCAAGGACGAGTAAATGATGGCAGAAGTTATTTTTGGGTGAACTATCCCTTTACATTCCATTCATATTATTCTGTAAAAAACAAATATTCAAAGTTCGTTGGAGTACCTTTTACATGCAAAAGTTGACTCCTTTCTACTTTTGTTTCCTTCTAATTATTTGTGATCAGTTTGAATTGAAATTTCTTTCTACACCTTTAATTAGTTTTAACACATTACAGGACATTTAATGTCATTAAAGCAACCCGTGCTTTTGTAGTAAAATATGATAAAATTCAAGCTTCAGTAATTTAAAGTGCAAAACAGTATATTCAGCTTTCTAATGCCCTTTCGTTGTCCTTGTCTTAAGGTATGAGGAAGTACAGCTCAGGTTAACAGTTCACGCAACTTCACAGCGGTTTTAGTCAGACTTTGTGCCTCTGTGCATTTTGCTGAAGTAGATCAAAGCGCTGTACACTCGCGCGGCAAATTCATCACTTGGTCTCTGCGGTGTCTTTTGCTCCCTGCTCTCTGGGTGTCTTCTCTTTAGTATGAGGGCATGCAGACCCCACAGGCGCACATCGCCCCGTCTGAATTATGATCTTACTGTACCATTGCTCCCAATCTACTAATGATGCTGTTTTTGTGTCAGTAGGAAAGCCAGAAAGTCTCCTTTTCCTTTCTCCACAAACACACACACACACATACACTGTGGCTAACTTAATGCAATTTTTCCCTTATTCTCTTAGGACCGCAAATGTATATTCCTGCCATCAGAGTCTTTAAAATACAATTTTAATGCATCTCTCACATTTATGTATATTTTAAGGCGCAATTAAAGCATAATGCTGTAGTTATGTAATGAAAGAGGTTGGACGAGTCCTATAAATTACTTCTTGCCCGCAGTTGGCAAGCATAGTGAAATTCATCTCAATCTTCAAGGATTCTGGTTCTGGATGTATTTGCATATGCTCATTAAAACGAACGCAGGCGAGGAACACAAGAGCCGGGATGAAAAATGAAAGCTGAAACATTATGTTTAGTAATTAGATCTCTGTTATTGATCTTTATAGAGACTGTAAGTCAATGGAAGAAGGGAAAACTAGTAGAAATTGTTTTCTCAGTGTTATTATCCTTGGTCTTTTTTCACAGAAATGGTGCAATGTGACAAGTAAACTAAATATCTGTTCCCAAATGCATTTTCTGTATTTACTCTACTGTTATTGTCAATGGAAGTGTACTAAAACACTTAAAAAATGATATATAAATTCCTGTTAAAATAATTTGGATCAGCAAGATTTTTTTATGTCTCTTATCCTCACAAAGACTGCATTTATTTAATTAAACAGACAAATTGAAAGTAGTAATTCTTATATATGTATATATAGTAATGCACTATTAAAGTCTTTACCCTCATATGTGATCATCTAATGTGTGTAACTTGAATAAAAGTAGGTAGTACATATAGACTGTAAAACTCAGTAAATACGCGTAACTCAAACCATTTCAGGAAACATTGCAACAAACCATTAAGTTCAAAAACTAATCTTAATAAGTACTGTAAACTTAATTAATTAAGTACAAGATACAGTTTGAACAGTAAAATCCAATCCAAATTAAGATAACTCAAACCAATTGAGTACCATAAAACCCAATAAGGCAACTCAAACCGCTTGAGGAAAACGATTGCTACAAATGATTTAACAGAACTCAAAAATTGCAACGGTTTTGGTTGCATATGCGACCAAAATATATGCAACCTGAAAATATATTTGGGAGCATTTGTGCGAGTGCATAAAATTTATGCAAAAAATGCAGTTCTCAAGCGCATATTGAACAGTGGATGTCGTACCGAAAAGTTAATAGTACATTGAGAATTGTGGCATCCCTGGTGTAAATAATTGGGAATGTAATCAGATGTATCATTGTATTACGTCTGTGATACAGCATCTCTTGGACATCAAGACAATACACTGCTAATCCAAAATTTCTTGATTATCTTTTTTTTTTTAAGTTTTTAAAACTTTTTTTGTGATTGAAAAAAGTTCAGGACCTCTGCTGTGGTGTTTGATGGAGTTGAGCAAAAAAAGAATATATTGTTTTGTTTTCAGAAATAATAATCAGTTTTACAATAGTAAAAAATATAAAAACATTTCTGCCAGTGGGGTACATATCTGCCACTGGAGTAAGTTATTTTAAACAGAAAACAAGATTATTTTACTTACCCTATTGGCGTATTATGTTAAAAAAAAACTCTTAACTTTGACTAATCATTTCTGAAAACAAGAGAATAGTTTTTACTTATCTATAAAATTCTGCTTGGTTTAAGATTGTTTAGACATTTGCGCTAGAAGCAAGACAAAAACTAGAGTAACTTGCAGTGTACACAAACAGCAACATCATGCGCAAAAGTAAGTTGAAGGTGTAAAACCAACTTAGGTTCATTCTGAAAACAAAGCCCTATATACAATTCTGGAGATCGCAAGTCTGTCCCCAGAGGTACGTATGGCTGCATTTCATCTTTAAAGCAAATGCTTTTCATGCTAGCAGCTGACCACTTACCTCTGTATGGATGTTTTTCTGCTGTCACAAAATTGTCCAGTGGCGAGGTTCAAGTCCGGTGAAGAATGGTTCCAGAAAGCGGGTAAGACAAAAACAAAAGCCAAAAAATAAAATAAAAAAGTAAATAACAGGGTGAGAATGTGGCAAAATCTGAAAGCATGGTAAAAATCAGGGTGCTTATCTTTTTCTGGATTGTTTTTCAAAAAACTGTCTGTTGGGTTTAGTGAAGTGGGTAGTCAATCTGTCCTTTTTAAAACACTATCGGTTGGGTTAAGTTAAGGGGGTGGGTAGGGGTATCTGTCGGTTGGTCAATCAGAGGCCTCTGCTGGATTTATGCGGGAACAGCAGGCGTGAATGGTACTTGCGAGGGAAATTTGAGATCTCAAAAAGCATACACAGTGGTCTCGCGATTGGCGAATACAAAAACTGCAAAAAAACCTACCTCCTGGGACATATTTGTTGCTCTCCTGAAATGTATATAGGGTTACAGTTTCAGAATGAGCCTGAGTTGCTTAAAACACATAATATGAAGCCTACAAATAATGTAATACTATTTGAATTTTGTTAATGTTGTGGATAGTTATTGATCAAAATAACTTGCTCAAAAAAGTCTTTGATTCCAGTTGAGGCTTTATTGTGCTTGCTGGAGCAGCAACTCCAGACTGATGCTTCTCTCCCAGTTATATAGGCCTCCAGCCTCCATTAGTCTTGGAGTGTTTGCCTTATAAAGCATGAACTGCTGAACACTACTAGCTGTTTTATTTCTAGCTTTTGTATTATTTGTAGTTGTTGGTTATAGGTTTTTATTCTTAGCACCCATTTGTTAAACCCTGACAATACATGTTCAAAAGATATTGGAGAATGTTTTGTTCTTTAAATTGTAGTTAATTCATTAACATAGATCAATTAAAATGGTCAATATTAAGTAATGCACAGACATTCATCTGTGTGTACATAACCCAAAATAAGCCCAGGTAGTGATTAAGAACAAGGCAAAACACCAAAACTTAGCGAGTACGACGTAGCAACAAATGGTGAAGTTACTCTTAAATCTACCTGTCATAAATTTGCAGACTGCGCTTCTGGTGCGGCTACATCTGGGTCAGCCTTCAAGCCTCCGTGTGCTTCTTCACCTCCAGAACGTGTGCTGACTGCAGATGATGCTGACCTTTGTGACACAGAAACTGAGCTCTCTCTCAGTGATGAGGAATACGGAGAGGAAGTCTTCACTTTCTCCTCATGCCCTCAATCAGCCAGACGCAATCAGGCTAGCGGCAACCCTGTTGAGGATCTGACCTTTGGCCTTAAAGGTCACAAGCTGCTAACAGAAGGACAACGCAAGGATGCACGTCTGGAAGATGATTTCATGGGGAGTGAGAGCGAAGAGGTATGAACATATAGACGATACATATGTAAAATGCAGAGCAATGATTTATGGATGTGACATGATGTGCTTTAATGAGACTTGCGTCTGGCAATTCAATTTACAGGTTTAAGGACAATCAGAAAAAAGTTGTTGAAGTAATTAGAGAGAATTTACTCTATTGCATTATCAAGGCAAGACAAGTTTATTTATATAGCACACTTCATACACAATGGTAATTCAAAGTGCTTTTACACAAGAATAAAAGAAACGAGAAAATAAAAACAACAAAGAATAAAAATTATTAAAAACAGATAAAAATAGATTAATATGTGTTAAAACAGGTTTTAAGCTGTGTTAATTTTGACAGCGAATTTTAATTTAGTTTTAGTCTTAGTCTTTTGACTAAAATTTCATTTTAATTTTAGTCATATTTTAGTCTTCTGAATCCTTTAAGTTTTTGTTGGCTGAAATATATTTGGTTTAATTTAAGTGTAATTTAATAAAATATTGTGTACATTTGTTTATAAAAAAAAGTCTAACTTTAAATTAGATAAAACAGTCTCATTAAAAATTGCTTTTCTATTGAAGACCAAAAATTACATGTGCATTGTTTATTTATATCATAAGTAAAATGTAAAGTTATGTGTCTGCAATCAGTCTGCATGATAATCGCCCGCGTCTACCAGTGGACCACTTTTCAAATGTGTGTGTGTGTGTAATAAATCACACACCAAGATTAATTCTGATTTTTAATTCTGATATTTTCCAAAAAACATCCCTTAATCACATTCACTTCTTGTTTTTATTAGTCATTGAAAATATATATTTTATATATATATTTGTATATTTTTATTATAGTTGTCGTCATCATTCGTCTCGTTTTCGTCGGTAAAAAACTTGTTCATCACGAAATTTATGGCAAAAAAATTTCATCAACTAAAATATAACTAGTTTTAAGGGAATCAAAAAGAGAAGAAAGAAAAAATAGTGCGATCTATCAGATGTAGCACAGTGCTCATTCGATAAAGGCACAGCTAAACAGATGTGTTTTCAGTCTTGATTTGAATGTGCCTAATGTTGGAGCACATCTAATCATTTCTGGAAGCTGATTCCAGCAGTGAGGGTGTAGTAGCTGAAGGCGGATTCACCATGCTTTGACTAAACTCTTGAAATTTCTAATTTACTTGATCCTAATGATCTGAGTGAGGTTTGTATTTAGTGAGCTTATCTGTAATATATTGAGGTCCTAGGCCATTTAGTGATTTATAGACAAGTAATAATACTTTAAAATCTATTCTGAATGTAACTGGGAGCCAGTGTAAAGGTGTGATGTGCTCTGATTTTCTGGTTCTGGTCAGAAATCTGGGAGCAGTATTTTGGATGAGCTTCAACTGTCTGACTGTCTTTTTGGGAAGACCAGTGAAGAGTCCATTACAGTAATCCACCCTGCTGCTGATAAAAGCATGAACAAGTCCTCACTGGAAATAACTTAACATGTTTTTGAGATAATGGTGTGGAGTTAGTTACTGCTTTGACATGACTACTGAAACTTAGATCTGACTTCAGAATCACACCAAGACTCTTGACCTTATTTTTGTTGGGGAAAAAAGGGTTTTGTTGTATTAAATGTAAGCAGAGCCACACAACTAATAGATATAGTCAAATGATCATAAATTGTGCACAAAATTGTTGTAAATAAAAAAATAAAGGTGCTTTTAGATTTGTCCTGTCTTGTAGACATGAAATCACTACCAACAAATCGCATACTTTCAGATTTAAATAAATAAATAAATAAATAAATAAATAAATAAATAAATAATATGACGCAGTGGGAAGCGCTGTCGCCTCACAGCAAAAAGGTGGCTAGTTCGAGCCCCGGCTGGGTCAGTTGGTATTTCTGTGTGGAGTTTGCATGTTCTCCACCTGTTCATGTGGGTTTCCTCTGGGTGCTCTGGTTTCCCCCACAGGTACAAAGACATGTGCTATAAGTGAAATGGGTAAGCTTAATTGCCCGTAGTGTGTGTGTATGTCCTGGTCCTACAGGTTAGGGATTGAGTGTTTGGCTAATGACCCACCTTGTAAATATTGGGTATTAAGAAACACCAAAATTGTCCAGCTAAATATAACGTTGATATAAATGGCCCTGGGAGTAAGTAAGTAAGTAAGTAATAATAATAATGTCAAGGCTAAATTATAATTCAGTATTTCATTTTTATTTTAATGGAGGCACTAAATAGCATTTCCAACTTAATTAAATAATGTCATGTTTTTTTCACCTTTCACGTTTTTATACAGTATCTATTCATATCAAACTGTTTTAGGCAAAGAAATCTAATTAAAGTCTGTAAACTCTTCTGTCATCATTTACTCCATTTTAGGCAAGGCAAAGCAAGGCAAGTTCATTTATGTAGCACATTTCATACACAGCGGCAATTCAAAGTGCTTTCAGTCAAAGTGTTTTTCAAAGTGTTATAAAGTAAAATAAAAATGAGATCAACTTTGAATCACTTTTTAAAGTAATATCAACTAATCACTTTTTACAGTGTAGAAATAATCATCCACCTATATTATTGCCACAGACGCAAATACTGTATACAAATTCAAACATCATCACAGTTAACCTACTGTATAACTTCTCAACATGCGTTGCCTGGATTGCTTTCTGTCAAAGTTTTCCTCTCAAGGACACATGATCTGGTGGAGTCATTTGTTAATGATACGCACACAATTTGATTGAGCTCCCCAGGGGCGCCGCCATTCGTTTAAGCCCATGAAGAAAACCATCAGTTTTCTTCAGTTGGGTTCATTTCTGACGAGACGGTGTCGAGCTCTATCGTGCTCCTGGGCTCTGCGTCCATTGAGAGGAACATCATTCATTTATTCACAGTCTGTTTGGTTTCCTCCTGGGAAATCAGTCTCATCTTTGGCATACATATGTTCCGCCGCACTTAATTAGAGATTTTTGATTGATACCGCTGACAGTTTTATTTGTTGCCTGTTTCCCCTTTCTTCCACGTCCTTGATAAATGTCTTTGTTTTTTTCTTCTGTGTTTTCTTGTATATGCCAGCATTTGACTTCCTATTACTTATGGGAGATGAAAAAAAGTAATAACTACTAAAGTTTGAATGTTCTAAACGTTATTTTTAAGTTGGACCTCCACATCTTGTACCTGTGTGGTATGAAATCATTTCCACTGGAAGCAGAAGTGATTATATCTGCTTAATGATTCCGTTAATGCACCGGAAGGTAGATGCACCAGTAACATATTGAAATGCATCTGTGACACGGCTTAATAACCACAAAACACATTGGCTTCCGCTGATAACGTGCTCGGTTTAAATAAATAAATTAATTGCAAATAGATAAAGGCCTGCCCCAGACTGATGTGTGTTTACCGAATGTCAGCATTTCAGCTTAGTGTTAGTGTGATGACACGTTGTTATTTTTAACCCCCTCCAAAAAAGCCGAATTATTAAAAACAGTCCCTCCGGGGGATATGAAGATGGAAAGAAAGGAGACAAAAACTCTGGCTGATCTGATGGCTTTGCTGGCCGTGCCCTTTTAGCGAGGTTGTCATCATTAGCGTGAAGCTTGCTGTTTAAGACCATTAGTGTAGATCAAAGCCTCACTAGTTTAAAGACCTTATCTGTTCCAAAACAGAGCAGAGACAGACAACTTTCCGGGCACAGTGTCGCCCTGATTAATTACAGGTAACTGTGATGTTACTCCGCCTGCGCCAGACTGTCTCGCGTCGTGGCTATTAATGCGTTTCATCTGTGACAGCGCTGGCGTTCACGGCTCTGAGATCCTTGCAACAGATTTCATCATGCTCTTTATGACTCCATCACAAGTTTTGTTGTTAAATTTATTATTTGTGGTTTTAGAGAGAAATTTGATTTATTAACGTCTCTCCTTCCTTGTGTTAATATCCCAGTCTGGGAAGGAGATAATTGAACGCAGTGGCGTTATTAATCTTAATGTCATAATTAGCGGTGGGACACCATGAGAAATGATTTGAAAATGAAGGAAAGAAACTGCCAAGTATTGTACTTGGGTTTTGAAGTCATTTGTGCTACCGGCAGGAATGATATTTTAGATTGTGTGGTTTGTTGAGGACTGGATTTATTGTGTGATTTGTGTCTGGTGGGTTAAGATGAGATAAGATAAAATGAACAGATTTACAGTGAAGGCAGCTATATCATAAAAACCCATAAGCAGCCAGATAATAACCCTAGCAACCATGTAGCAACATGCTTTTAAGTAATCTAATTAAATTGCAAATTAACCACATATAAAATGTGCCATAGAATTAAAATATGGAAATACCTAGGCATGGCTAAGATTTCATTCACTCACTTTCCTTCAGCTCAGTCCCTGATTTATCAAGGGTTGCCACAGCAGAATGTTTTTTGCAGTGGATACTGTCAGTGTAAAATCCTGGTGATAAAATAAGGTCTGCATTAAAATGTATCTTTTGTTAGTTTTGTATATTTTAAATATGGTCAAAACCAACCAATCATATTAGAATAAAACATTTCTGGAGAATTTTGGCACTTGCATTTGATTGGTCACAAAATTTGATGAGAAGCCAATATATTGTTGGCTCATTCTAAAAACGTAGCCCTATATACATTTCAGGAAATCGCGAATTATGTACCAGAGCAAAGTATGGCTGCATTCCATCTTTAAACTAACGTTTCGGCACAGTAGGATGTCGCTCCTTTTCAAACTTACCAGCTGTTGTAGACGGCTGTTACCAGTTTGTCCAGTGGCTCACCGTGTATGTCAGAGGATTTGAGATGCGGAGCAGAGTTGACCGTGATGACGGGGCCGTCTGACAAAGTATGCTTCCAGAAAGCATGTAAGACAAAAACCAAAGCCAAAAAATAAACAAGTAAATAACAGGGTGAGAATGTGGTAAAATCTGAAAACATGGTAAAAATCAGCCTGCTGCAAGGCCTTTTCTATTTCTGCATTGCTTTTGAAAACACAGTCGGTTGGGTTTAGGGAAGTGGGTGGGCGCTGGTCAATCGTTGGTTTTTAAAACACTATTGGTTGGGTTAAGAGAAGGGGTTGGGTGGGGCAATTGGTCAGTTGGTCCTCTGGTGGATGTACAGTTGTGAATGGCACTAGAGAGAAATTTGAGATCTGACAAAGTGTACACAGTGGCCTCTGGCGAGTTCCTGAAATGTATATAGGGCTGTGTAATCAGAAAGATCCTGGGTTGAAAATTTAATGAGAAGTCTAAAGTGCAGAGTGATGTCATCAAAATTGTTGATTCAGTCAGTGCCGATAGTCTAGTAAAGATAGCACCGATATGCTCACGGCGATCCGAGTTCAATTCCTAGCTCAAGACCCTTCCCCTGTCTCTGCTCCGCACACTTTCCTGTCTGTAAATCATCAACTGTCCTATGCTAATAAAGTTGAAAAATCTCTAAAAATAATTATTAAATAAAAAAAAGTTGATTCATATTGGCTACATTGAAAGACTTTTTGAAGTTTTGAACGCACATTACTTCTAAATGAGAAATGTGTCATTATTTAAAAACATATTATCTCATAAAAAACTATAAGGCTTAAAATATGAGCAGTCTTGCAGCATTGGAATATGTAAAAAAATGTATTCATTTCATGCAACTAATTTATTTATTTATTTATTTTTTATACTTTTTCATTTTCTTTCACAGGATGAAATGCATACAGAGTTTCTCAAAAGATGTGCAGTCCATTCCATTACTACTCCCCCACCACTTTCTTCAATACAAAAACACACAGCTCAACCCAAATTCTCCTCTGAGCCAATTAAGACTCGGGCCTCTGCTGTCCAACATGTCTCTGAAGGTCCAAAAAGGCACGAACCCATGCGGATAGCACCAACCCGCTGCCTCTCTCCTAGCTCCTCCAGACAAGGGAGCAGACTAGATCGGTCTGAAGCTGACAGAGCATTGCCTGATGGAGATACCAGGATATCTATCAACAGAACATCTGTGCGCGAGATCTCACTCAAGAATTCTGGGCTTCAAAAGGTGAGCTTGTTTACTTAGAAAATGTGCAAAAGAAAATTCTGTTATCATAAAATTACCCTCGTGTGAATGCAAGCCTTATGGATTTCTCCCGAGGTGGGTTTTTAAAAAACTCTTCCTTTTTCCATACAAGGAAATTCAGTTGCATCTAATAAACTGTAAATTTATATATACCGTGGTTGGAACGAAACTGAAATGCCTGGTTTTAGACCACAATCATTCATTTGTATGCTGTAGGGCCTCCTTTAGTGGCCATCAGTTAATCTTGTGACAGATGCAAGTCCTCCACAGTGGCCGGAGGGGTTTTGAGCCATTTTACTTGCAGAATATTGGCCAGGTCCCTATGTGATGCTGGTGGAGATACACATTTTCTGATTCACTTCTCCAAAACACCCCAAAGTGGCTTAATAATATTTAGCTCTGGTGACTGTGCAGACCATGGAAGATGTTCAACTTCACTTTCATGTTCGTCAAACCCCTCTGTCACCAGTCTTGCTGTGTATATTGGTGCACTATCATCCTGTTACATGGCACCACTTCAGTGTTTAAACCATTGGGTGCACATCTTCTTCTAGAATAATTTAATAGACCTTGGCAGTGACATGCCTATCTAGCACAAGTATTGGACCTAGGGAATACCATAATATTGCAGCCAAAACATCACTGATCCACCCCCATATTTTCTCTGAGCATGCAACAGTCAGTCTGCTTCTTTGGGGCTTCTCCACAACATAACTCTCCTGGGTGTGGGAAAGACAGTGAAGGTGGACTCAACAGAGAACAATACATGTTTTACATTGTCCACAGTCCAAGATTTTTACTGCTGGCACTATTGAAACCAATGTTTGGCACTGACACGAGGGACCAAAGGTCTGGCTATAGCTGCCCGGCCATGTATGTTGACCTTGTGGAGCTCCAGATAGACTGTTTTAGTGGAAACAGGAGAGCTGAGGTGGGCATTTAGTTCTGCAATGAGTTGGGCAGCTGTGGTTTTATGTTTTTTGGATAAAATTCAGGTTAGCACTTGGAGATCACTTTCAGAAAGCTTCCTCTTGCAACCACAGTTACTCCTGTTGGATGTGGTTCATCCTTCTTGCTGAAATTACTCTGAATACTGTGGCTCATGATACATCACAAAGACTTGCTGTCTTGGTCACAGATGTGCCAGCAAGATGTGGACCAACAATATTATTGTCAATATTGTCACCAATCATGTTGTGCAATATTTGAAGCACTGTGCTATTACTCTGCTAATTAGGAACCACTTATTGTTTCCATTAGCGTTCCTATTATTATTATTATTATTATTATTATTATTATTATTATGCTTCCTCCTCTTCTTCTTCCGCCGGATTTGAATGCAGCCCATGTATCCATATGAGAGAAAGTTGTAGTATTTGGCATAATAATAGAGAGCAGTGTTAACATGAACAACAGCAAACCTGAAGTCTCAACTCAAACTCAAAAACTTGTCCAAAGTTTCACTTATGTTTATTGTTATAACTTTTGAACTGAATGAGCTTTTTTCCTCTGAATCCTTGGCTTTGTCCGATTCAAACGCTCCCTATGACGTCATTTTCCATCATGAAAACTTTTCGCTATTTTGAATTTTTCACAAAGTGAAGTTTCATGAGCTCATTTTAAGAGGAGAATGTGATATGACTGAGCACGACTGGTTGCTCATCTGTAATCAGTAACAATCCAATTAGAGTGATCCTAGTTTACAATAAATGGATCGTTTTCTCCCTACTGCTCTATCCTCATTTTGGAAGAATTCCCCCTTCCACCCCATCTCCTCCTTTTCCTCCCTTATCCAAGTGGGAGCTCTCGAGACCTACCTGATCTCGGATATGCAGATATGCTTATTTGACCGGGCGGTAGCCGAGCTCAGGGTTCTCTGCCGGGACAGCATGCCAAATCAGCTATAAACGCTAAGCATATCTAAGTGGGCACTCTTGAAACTTGTTTGATCGAACTCGTCCTAGGCCGTTTTTCCGATTTTACCAAAATTGAATCACATTATCTACAGACCATGCTAACAAAAAGTTATTGAATTCAAGTTGATTAGACCAACCATTTTCATTTAAATTGCTAACAAATTTAACGTAGAGCTTGCAAAAATGGACTTGAGGCGATATAACCCATTGACGTATCACCAAACTTGATGTGTGTCAATTGCTTGGTGTGTGTCAACTGTGTAAGCAATTTTTGAAAACGCAAATAACTTTTGCTAAATATTTCTTATTGCCATGACGTGTCTTGTCATATTCTCTGGATAATGCCGAGACCATTGATACCAAATATACCAAAATAAACTAAACTTTCTGTCCCCCAATTTGTTTTTGAATTAAACAAAGTATTTTTTTAAACAGTTTTTCTGATTTTCACCAAATTTGACTCCAATGTTTTTAAGACTATTCTGGCAAGGAGTTATTGAATTTATGTTGATACATGACACAGTTTTTATTTACACTACCGACAAATGGGCTGGCACGATATCAAAGATCATATGAGGGTGTAATTTTAATTTTAATTTTAAAACTTTTAATTATATTGATGCTGAACTTTAGGTGTGTCACTGGCATCTCACAATAGCACATAAATTGTGACCACCTAGTGGTCACACTTTAAAAAACACTTACCATCAATAATGAATCAAAAATGTGCTAATAACTTTAGACTGCATATATTTATTGTGGTCAAATTGATCTCAACTTATTCCTTGGGTCATGTTGAGAACACTGATACCAAATATGCCATATTTGCCTAAACTTCCTGTCCGCCATATTGATTTTGTTAAAAAAAAATTTTTTTAAAACTCCTCCTAGACCGTTTGCTGAAATATCACCAAATTTGACCCGGATCATCATCAGACTATGTTGACCAAGTGTTGTAAAATTCGTATCAATAGGCAAAATGGTTTTTGTTTACCGCACCGACCAATGTGCTTAAATGTGCTCATTCTGCCCCTTAATTGCTGCTTGCAGCTATATTTAAACATTAGTTCTACCAACTTTAAACAATAGGTTACTCAGATGTTTTAAGGCAATATATTGAGTAATCTGTTGTTATTAGGTTTTAAAGTGGGTAGTTGCATACAGCATTTACCTAGATAATGTAAAAACGGGACCATCTATACATGACAAACCTCTACAAAAACATGCTATATTTTAGCTTAATTCCTGAGCTCGGAATAAGCAATAAAAATCTCCTTGGAGTTCAAAACCCCCCGAAAATATGCTTTAAAAAGCCAGAAAACAAAAGAACACTATGTCCAAGCCATTTGCAATGCAATTTCCAAATGCATCAGAGATCCAAGGGCACAACCCAACCCCCCCTCAATCTGAATGGATTCAGATTAAAATATCCGGCCTCTGGGGATGATAAGAACCACACCAGTTCTGAAATTACAATAAAAACAGAGGCCCTCATAAACAAGCCACTCTGCTGGAGTGCACCAATTCAGCTGAAGTATGTGCTTGATTTGATCCCCTCTAACCCTGCATGCTTGCTATGGTTAAAAAACATTTCATCTGCATGAACACAGGCCATGTGATTGTGTGGGTTCACACCACAAAACCTATGTGGCTGCTTGAATTTGAGGACAATTTCTCGAAATTACGCTTGCATCTTTTTGTCAATTCCTCAAAGGGTTAGTTCAACCAAAATGCAAACTCTGTCATTTTTTACTGGGCTTGATGTTGTTGAAAATCCAAAATACATTTTCAGAAATTACCTATTCCCTCTATCTCTATATATGCATGTAATAAAAGGGATATTTTGAAAAGTCTATACAATAGAAGACAATTAGGTACAGTGCTTTTTTTTCTACAATAAGAGTTTCCAAATGGCCAAATGTTCCGACTCGATAAATGTGAAGCAGCGCAGTAATGCAAACTTTCCATCTGCTCTCCATTTCATCTCCTCCTTGCCCAGGAGAAACCACTGGGATATCAAAGAGAACTCATTACTGTTATTTCCTCTTTTAGTTTGTTAAACACCAACTAAAACTGGTCCAAGCATTGAGCACAACCACCACAGTCTCTCACCGTAGGACTGAAACGGTGATTAGCTAAACGTCTTATAGAGTTTGATGTGGGAATTACTGAGAATCATTACGGATGCCCCATAACGCTGCGTTCTCCCATTTAAACATGGCACATATCTTTGATGCTGCTGAAGTTTGCAAAGCTGATCTGGAAGGTCGCTCGTGATCCAGGTAGGACTTGGTATAAGTGGATTTCTTAGCAGCAGGCAACCATCCCTGCTGATGTCTTGGCCTTAATGGGGGTGCCAATTAGCTGGCAAGCTTTGATTGATTGCTCGCTAATTAGCTATACCCTGTAACGATCAGTCTCATTACAAAGTGGCACCGATGAAGTAATGAGATTTTTGGGGTTTACAGGTGAGTGTCGATGGGAGGGTTCAACCTTTGGGCTCCAGCAGGTGTGATCTGAGAAGTCAAGACGAAGAGGATGAGGAAGATGAGCTGCGGATGTTGGCATGTTTAAAGAGGGAGCAGGAGGAAGAAGGAGACATCAGCAGTCCAGGACTTAGTGCATCACAGGTAGGCCATGGTGATGTCATCCTAAAATGAAACAGGGAAACATACATTCAATTTACCTATAGTGCATATCTTTGGACTTATGGGGGAAACCGGAGCACCCAGAGGAAACCCACGTGAACACAGGGAGAACAGAAATTTGGTTAGGAAACTTATTTTAAGTTTAATCCATCTAAATGTGTTACCTTAGCTTAATCGAATTGTGTTGGGACAGCATGAATGAATTGTGTGGAACCCTACATTTTTTTACAGTGTATATAGTGTAAATTTATTTTAAATATCTGATTAGGTTTATAGCAATTATAATATTTGATTTGATTGTCGAACGCAGTAGGTTTTTTCAAGCACCAAAACAATAAGAATGAGTTGGTGCCAGTAGCTTAGTGGTTAAGTGCTCTGACATATAGCACAATGATGTACACGGAGACCCGAGTTCGATTCCTGGCTTAAGTTTCTTTGCCAATCCTTCCCCTATCTCTGCTCCCAAGACTGTAACCTCCAATATCTTATCCAAACAAAAGGTGAAAAACCTCTAAAAATTTATTTTATAATTAAAAATATAATGCAGCTTAATGTTTGGTATAAATTTAACATAGACTCATTCTGAAAATATAGCCCTATGTACATTTCTGGAGAGTGTGAATTATGTAGCCAGAAGTTCATATGCTGGTCAATTGGTGCTTTTGAAATCACTATTGGTTGGGTTTAGGGAAGGAGGAGGGTGGATCAGTCAATCAGTCAGTCATTTTGTCAGTCGACAGGGGCTTTTAGTGGGTTTACTCTAGAATAACAGGTTTGAATGGCACTCACAAGAGAAATGTTATAGATCTGAAAATGAATACACAGCGGCCTCAGGCAGATTCGCTAAAACAAAAACTGCAAAAAACGTACCTCCTTGGACGTTTTTGGTGCCCTCCAAGAATGTATATAGGGGTGTGTTTTCAGAATGAGCCTGTGTTGTATAAATTTGTCAAATTTATGTTTGATGTATATTTTGTGCAAATAATAGCTATTGTTTTTACAGAAGACTTACAGAAGAATAATTTTATAATTTAGCATAATAGTAATTTATCTACATAAAAATGTATTGTAATTTTAAATAGTTGCAATTGTAATTTCCTACTTTGACATTTTTGGTTTTACCCTAATGTTATACGCATCAAAACATAGTTTTATTTACAAAAATGTTATGATTCCTTTTTTCTCGCACAAAGTACATGTAAGATTAAGTATAATGTATAAGTTCTACATAATACTGTCCCACATTGAATGACAATTTGACATTATTTAACCCATATTTTGACATTTTATTTTCACAAAACTTATTTAATAAAACTGGACAAAAAGGGACATACAGTATTGTCCTAGACTCATATATGTAAAATAGCCGACAGTAACAGCAAAAGTTTATATCATTTATAATGTCACAAAAAAGCTTTTGAAATTCTCTTATTATAATATTCTGTGTATATATTTATATAATATTATATTATATTATTTATATTATTATTTCTATATTATTAACCCCCCCTTTATATATATATACATGTATGTATGTATGTATATATATATAAGGGGAGGGGGGGGGGTTAATAATAATAATTCAGGGGGTTTAATAATTCTAACTTCAAATTGTCCTAAGTGCTACATCCAAGTCAGGGAAAATATTATATATAACATAAACATTACGTACAAACATAAAATTAGAAATATTCCCATTTTTGCAGTTAAATGTGTCATTATTTTCCTTTTTTCTTATATGTTTGTGTTCTCTCTTTTGCCAGGTTCACCACTGTGACATAAGTCTAAGCGCAAGCAGTGACGACACCTCAACCTGGACTCAGTGTATCCCTTTGGTGGGCTTGCAAACCACACACACATACACTATACAGACATTTATTGCCATTATAATTACAGAAGCCAAATGCATTGCCACTCTTGAGAGTACAGAGTGAGAAAGTCTGCACTGCTCCTTCATCATTAGGCTCCTCAGATATACAGGGTGCTTTGTATGGATGAACTGTAGCTAGCAGGCAAATAATAGAGTGAATATTAAAAGCTGGTTTCCCATGAAGAAGGGCAATCAAACAGTTTATATAAAAAAACCTACTAATTAGAGTGAAATAAACCCCCATGGCATTACAATATCAGACCCTATCCATCAGTTGTTGATGTTGCTGTTGTCTGTTGATTAGAAAGATACGCTGGAACTGCTAATCATGCCTGGTGTGCCTGGTACTGAGAAACTGCAAATTAGTGGATTGTAAGACTGGGAAAACATAGCAATACTGCCACCATCAGGCTTGAAGAACAGGTACAATGATCAAGTGCTCGTCAACTGGTTTGCCTGAGAATTAGACATAAAGTAGTAAAACATTAAAACATATATATATATATATATATATATATATATATATATATATATATATATATATATATATATATATATATATATATATATATATATATATATATATATATTAGTAATAATTATATACAGTTGAAAGTTTACATACACTGTATAAAAAGGCACATAACCATTTAAAAAAAAGTCAGATGTTAATGTGACTCAACTTTTTCTCTTTAAGGTAGGTTGGGATTATCACATTTTTTTTCGGTTATGCTTAATGGCAGAATAATGAGAGAGAGATTTTTTTGATAAATTGTTATAACTTTTCTTGAAAGTCAAGTTTACATACAATAAGATTATTATGCCTCTGAAAAAGCTCAGATGATGGTGTCTAGGTTTTGGAAGTTTCTGAATGGCTAACTGACTACATTTGAGTTAATTGGAGGCACAACTGTAGAATAGTATTTAAGGAAAACCTCAAACACGCTGCTTCCTTTTGTGACAACATGGATAAATCAACAAGTCAGAATCATCATCAACAACAACAACAACAACAACAACAACAACAAAAAAGCCAGATTACAATTTGCAAAATTACTCTGGGAAAAACTTTTTATAATGACCAGTGTTGCATTTGGAGGACAAAGGGGAAAGCTTACAAGCCTGGGAACACCATCCCAACTGTGAAGTATGGGGTGGCAGTATCATGTTGTGGGGCTGTTTTGCTGCAGGAGGGACTGGTCCACTTCACAGCATAGATAGCATTATGAAGAAAGAACATTATGTAGAAATACTGAAGCAACATCTCAAGACATCAGCCAGGAAATTAAAACTTGGCCACAAATGGGTGTTCCAACTAGACCATAACCCTAAGTATACTACCAAATTAGTTAAATGTGCTTTAGGAACAACAACATGAATGTTTGGAGTGGCCATCACAAATCCCTGATTTCAATCCTATAGAAATTTGTAGGCAGAGTTGAAAAAGCTTGTGCGAGCAAGACAGCCTACAAATCTGACACAGTTACACCAGTTCTGTCAGGAGGAATGGGCCTAAATTCCTGCAAACTATTGTGAGAAGCTTGTGGAAAAATACCCAAAACATTTGACCAAAGTTATACAGTTTAAAAGCAAAGCTAAAAAATACCAAGGAAATGTATGTAAACTTTTGACTGTCTAGAAATTAATAAAAATTCTCTAAAAAATAATTTTCTCAATAATCTGGCTTTTTAGGATTTTTATTATTGTTTTGGTATTTAGGTAATCCTAAAAAACCTAAAATAGTAAATGTTTAGTATGATTTAACATCAGATATTTAGAGTCTTTAGAGTGTATGCAAACTTCTAGTTTCAACTATATATATATATATATATATATATATATATATATATATATATATATATATATATATATATATATATATATATATATATACATACATACATACATACATACATACATACATACATACATACATACATACATACATACATACATACATACATACATGCATACATACATATGCATTGGTCACATGGCTCTGCTCTGATTGGTCAGATAGCTAAGTCTGTTGTGATTGATCTTTCGCTTATAGTGTGTGTCTGGAAATAAAACACTCACATAGGGATGCATGGATTTGTTTTGGCCAATACCAATTTTAACGAAATTCAGATACCAATATTGGTCACATGCATACAGTTATACTGCTAGTTAGTTCAGCACTAATTTCATTTGACTAAACGTTATCAATGATCCAACTAAAATGTTGGCCAGCTGAATGTTAAAGGTTAATGTTGAAATAAAAAAGTGATTTTTGCAATTCAGTATTCTTTGAACAACAGCAACTTTTGTTTGACATATAATAGAATGGATTTATTTAAGAAACTTAACAAGTAAAACCAATGCTGTTACTATAACTAGATGACACATTTTGCTGCTCCAGACAAGTGAAGACATGTGAAGTTTTGTACACATTAGATCTGTAAATATTTAGATTTTTGTACATATATAGGTCTGGTATTTTGTATGGATTTCATTTAGCTTTTTGCAAGTATTAAAATATATACATTTTTGATTATTTAAAACAGGTGCAACTCAATGCTTCCACGTAATCAATAAACCATCAGTATCTGTCTTTCTTATATTATTATCAATATACTGATACATGCTGATATACCAATGCCAATATACTGATACATACTGTACCGATATATACTGATATACAGATACATACTTGTGAATTTTAGCTCCAGAAGCTTCCTCAGCACTAGAAAACACATTAATACAAACAGTAGAGATGGTGCTGGTTTTACTGTAACTGCTCAAACGCAAGTCTTCATCTTTTAGAAGTGTATGAGACATGGATTTGCTTTTGAAACAGAAAGCAGCAACAGAACATAAACCAAACTCTTCCAGGTCTCAGCTCTAACAGCAATGCTCGAGGGTCAAAGTAAATTCTGTGCAAAGTTGTGAAAAAATCCATGTAGGTTTGTGCATAAGGTAAGACTAGATTTACTGATGATTCATTTCAGCCAGTTCAGAATTAAATCCTACTTTAGGGTGACGATAACACGGCACACCTTTCACATTTGTAAACAGCTACACAACACATATGAAAGATAATATCTAAAAAGCATATTAGGGGCAATTTAATGTCATAAACCAGGCAAAATAGGACATTTCTGTAATGCAGAACAGCAGAAGTGTGTTTCTCCAGCCTATGAATAGTATTAGACTCTCATAAAAAGCACTGCTCCAAACTATGAAAGCCTAAATCATTATTTTAAAGCAAGGAACGAGGTAATCCAGAACGTATTATATTTTCGTACTTGACTGGAGCTAATAGTGGACAGATACGGCCCCTGAACCAGATTATAAATACAGTACTCTTTATTCTCTCTGTGATTCACAGCCAGTGGATCAAGGCCAGCACTATCAGAAAGAAATGAACCCTCTTCTTCACTCTAATCCCAGGTAAGAGAAAAAGCAGTATTTTTAGCCTCCCTACAGTATAATTCTGAGCATTATTGTACATTTAAGTGTTGAGGCTTAGACATGAATGAGACATTTAAGAACTTTATTATGCGAGTTCATATGAGACCTTTTGTCAGGCCTCAGGCTTGAACGTTCAATAATTTGGAATTCAGAAAAGTGGTAACAAAATGTGATAAAATGTTCATGTTCACCATGTTGTTCAGCAGTTACAGGGAACTTTTAAAATTCAAAAGGGAGCAGGTGGTGTGCGGCAGAAAATTTATGCCACACTTCAAAAGATCTGACTGACATTCGTTTCATGACAAACCTTCCAGATTGCCTACTTAATGGAGCACTGCACCTTATGTCTTAAATCTTTGCAGGTTTTTGAATTAATTGGAAAATATGTAAACATTAAACATTGTACAGGTTTGTAGAAATAATAATGATAATATTAATACTAATAATAATAATGATGTTGTTGTTCTATGATATTTTTTTAATTATATACAAAAAACACACATTAGTTAGCAGCATATAAATATTACAAAAGTAATTATAATAAAAAAGTAAAGTAGTATTTGTCTATAATATTGTTTCAGAAGAAATGTATTTATAATAATTTTAATAATAACTAATTGTTTAGTTTTTGCTTTAATTTATAAGCAATAATATTTAGTGTTGTGTCATGAGTGTAGTAGCATTAGTAGTTAGAGTATAAAAATAATAAACTTTATTGAAAAATTATTTTTATAACGCTATTATAAATTAATTTTAAATAATTACAAAGATTGTTTATGCTCATAGTATTAATTATAAATAAATATATAACTACTACTGTTTTAGGAAGAAATGTATTTCATTATTTTTAATAGTTTTTATATTAGTTTTACAATTTACTATAACCACCAAACAACAATAAAATAACAAAATACATCAAATAAAAATAATAATAAATAAGAAAAATAATAATAAAAGGGTAAAAACAAACAAACAAACAAAACAGTCAGGGCATATAAACGGTCACTAAGAAAATACCAAGAGGCACTCAGTAAGTGTCAGTGATCATATTAACAACTACACACTGCTGGTGATTGAGAAACAGTTGCCATATATTGTTAAAACTATGAAGGTTACCAATAACTGCTTGCCAGACTCTTTCCTTGTGGAATATTTGAGTGGGATAAGTCAACCATGTCTTAAATTGAGCAATACAATCTGATTTCCACAGCATTAGAATGGAGGTGTGAACCTATACTGGTCTCACGGTTCGGTTCGGTTACGATTATCATGCCATCAATTCGATATCTCGGTGCATCACGATGCTTTGATGATGCTTTCCATACACAGTTTTATATTGGGGGGTCTGAAGCTGTCTGTAAACACACACGTAGACACACAGCACCAAGCAAACGACACAAAGCATCACACTCTCTCTCATTCACACACATAAACACACACACACACACACACACACACACACACACACACACACACACACACACACACACACACACACACAAGCATGCTTGCTTGCTCGGGAGTGATATTGCTAGACTGCCCGAGCGAATTAGGACGGTTCTAAGGGCCCATACATTTAGGGGGGCCCCAGAGACATGATCAAATTACACCAGAGTTACCTACTGCTCCCGCGCTTTATTTGGAAATTTATTCCCGCGCCACAAGAAATCCAGACCTCTATCCAGAAGTATACCTGTAACAGCTGAGATTAGCGGAAAAGTCACGCCAGCAGGTCTATTGGGCCAAAGTGGATGAGAGAGAGTTCAGAGAGAGAGAAATGGAGTTCACTCATTCTCTCAATCGCAGCCAAATAGGAGCTTCTGCTGTGTCAGTAAAAGACTGTCCAGAAAACACACACGTAGTGAAATTGTGCACAGTTGGAGCGTTGTAAATACTTGAGCTCATCTCCCTCGCCATTGTAAGCTACGAAGACATAGCGCATATGAGATAAATGACATCAGTACACAATAACCGGATTATTACTGAACCGATACCGAATTGTCCACATCTGTATCGCGGTGCACCGAAGAAACAATTAATTTTGAAACCCCTACTTTAGAACCATCCTATAAATGATGGTGCTGTGTATTGACACATTATAATCAAATCAAATCAAATGACTTTTATTGTCACATCATCAGCAGCACGTGTGCTATGATGAGTGAAAAGCTTAGGTGCTGGCTCCAGACTGTACAAAATACAGATACAGTGCAAATACAACGACAGTGCAAAATACAGACAGTGCAAATACAACGACAGTGCAAAATAGACACTGCAAATACAACGACAATCCAGAATACAACAGCATGCTCCCAAAAAAACAGGACAATGTATAATTGACAGCGATATGTACAATAAATATGTGTCCACATAGTTGTAGGGAGTATTGTTTCAAGTATGGATTGGTTAAAGTGCATTGCATGCTACATATTGATGGTGTGCAGTGAGGGTATGGAAGAGTGTGTGAGGTGTGTTAAGTGTTCATCAGCCTGATAGTCTGAGGGAAGAAGCTTTCCTCCAGTCGGCTAGTGCGTGATCGGATGCTGCGGAACCGTCTGCCTGAGGGTAGCAGAGAGAAAAGCTTTCCTCATGCACCGCCTGGTGTAATCCAGCAGAGAAAGAAAGTATAACCATTTAGTGAAATTTCTAGGTCATGTGCAAACGCACATCAATACATGTCAGAAAACCATTTAAATATGTCACTCTAGAAATCATAAAGGAAGAAATGTATTTGATTAAAAAATCCTAATTATTATTTCATGAATTATAATAAACGATCATATTAAATGTAATTATTTTTAGTACATAATTTATAAAAAGTGATTTAAACATCATACAACTAAACCTTACACTCTACTAATTAAAACCCTTTCTAGGTTGAGCAAGAAACCGATTAATAATCTGTGTAAAAATTGCAGAGAATGAGACCTTTAAACATAAATGAACTGATCAAAGATAACTCAAGGAGCGCTTCATGAGTTCCTCATTTTCCCTACACACTATTTACAACCCCACAGCATAATAACTACGGCTGGTTTCCTACGCAAAACTTTTGCCTGTCAAGGGAAGCTGCCCACACTGCCACGCCTCGCTGATTAATTAAGCATGGCTGTCAGGGACAATGAATAAGCAGGAGTTGTGCGTGTGCTCAGAGGCTTGCATGTGTCACCTCGCTGTCACCGCTCTCTGGGAGGTCATCATCCACCTCCCTCCCGTCCCACCGGGGAACCTGTCCATCAACACCACATGGTGCCTCAAAAAAAGTGTCATGTAAATGAGGGAATATGAAAGAGAGACGCATGCGTTAGCTACAGTGAGCTTTTGGTGCAGCGATTCCGGAACATTCTGTGTAATATTAAACAAAATGTTATCTTTCTCCATGATGAATTATGAGAGGAACTTTCTGTAAAATGCAAACAGTCAGTAAGGTTGACTAAAGAAACTGCTATATTATATTATATTATATTATATTATATTATATTATATTATATTATATTATATTATATTATATTATATTATATTATATTATATTATATTATTCTTGACACAAAATGGTGAAAAACACTGGTTCGAGCCCCAGCTGGGTCATTTGGCATTTCTGTGTGGAGTTTGCATGTTCTCTCCATCTTTGCGTGGGTTTCCTCCGGGTGATCCAGTTTCCCCCACAGTCCAAAGACATGACGCTGTAGGTAAATTGGTTAAGCTTAATTGTTTGTAGTGAATGTATGTCCTGGTACTCCAGGTTGGGGGTTAGCGTTGGGCTAACAACCCCACTTATAAAAACTAGATGTTATGAAACACCAATATGGTGATAAAGATCAGCTTCAGCCCTGAAAGTAAGAAAGTAAGTAAGTAAAGTAAGCAAGTAAGAAAGTAAGTATAGTATTTAAGTTAAGTAATTAAAGTAAGTAAGCAAAGTAAGTTAGTAAAGTAAGTAAAGTAGATTAGTAAAGTAAGTAAGGTAATTATGTAAAGTAATTAAGTAAAGTAAGTAAGTAAGTCCTCCAGGTTGGGGGTTGAGTGTTGGGCTAACAGCCTTATAAAAACTATAGATTACAGAACACCAATATGGTGCGGCTAAATATCAGCTGCGACATAAATGGGCCTGGGAGTAAGAAAGTAAAGTAAGTAAAGTAATTAAGTAAAGTAAGTAAAATAGCCACAGCCATATCACCCTGCAGCCCAAGAAAGGTTACTCAGTTGGATTTTCTCTGGGTGCTCCGGTTTCACCCACAGTCCAAAGACTGTGGTACAGGTGAATTGGGTAGGCTAAATTGTCCGTAGTGAATGAGTGTATATGGATGTTTCCCAGTGATGGGTTGCAACTGGAAGGGCATCCGTGGCGTAAAACATGTGCTGGATAAGTTTGCGGTTCATTCCACTGTGGCGACCCCAGATTAACAGAGACTAAGCCAAAAAGAAAATGAATAAATGAGTAAACTAAATCGAGTAAGTAAATAAGATATAAGTAAAACCTGAAACAAGTATTTCAAAATAGTGTTTTGCTTAATTTTAAACAAAATAAGAGAGATCATACAAAATGTATGTATTTTTAATTTAGTACTGTTCTGAGTAAGATAAATTACATCAAATGTGTTTACTTAAACTCAAAAAATTACTACATGTTCAAACTACTTATTTCAAGAGTTCCCACTTAGATATGCTTGGCACTTATAGCAGGTTTGGCATGCTGTCCCGGGAGAGAACCCTGAGCTCGGAGATATTTGAGCCCAGGGCTCCCGCCCGGTCTAGAAGCATATCAGGAGAACCGAGATCAGGTAGGTCTCGATCGCTCCCCCTTTAGAAGGGGAGAAAAAGGAGGAGATGGGGTGGAAGAGGGGATTCTTCCAAAACGAAGATAGTGCAATGAGGAGAAAATGATCCATTTATATTAAGCTAGGATCATTCTGATTGGATTATTACTGATTACAGATGAGTGGCCAGCGGTGCACAATCATATCACATGCTCCTCTCGAAATTAGTTTATGAAACTTCACTTAAAATTAGTTGAAACAACAAAATTGTTCTGTATTTTTGGGGACAACTTAATTGTTTTATGTTCAAGCTACTTAAAATAAGAAAAAAACAATTAAGTTAACTTAAACGATTTGTGTTGTGACAGCATGAATGAATTTTGTGTAACCCAGCATTTTTTACAGTAGTGTTCACAAGACCAGAAATAGCTGAAATTATATACATACAGTTGAAATCAGTATTATTAGCCCCCGTTTATTTTTTTCTCCAATTTCTGTTTAACAGAGAGAAGATTTTTTCAACACATTTCAAAACATAATGGTTTTAATAACTCATTTCTAATAACAGTGACTATGACAGTAAATAATATTTGACTAGATATTTTTCAAGACACTTTTATACAGCTTAAAGTGACATTTAAAGGCTTAACTAGATTCATTACGTTAACTAGGCAGGATAGGGTAATCAGGCAAGTTATTGTATAATGATGGTTTGTTTTGCAGACAATCAAAAAAATATAGCATAAAGGGGCTAATAATTTTGACCTTAAAATGGGTTTTAAAGAATGAAAAACTGCTTTTATTCTAGCTGAAATAAAACAAATAAGACTTTCTCCAGAAGAAAAAATATTATCAGACATACTGTGAAAATGTCCTTGCTCTGTTAAACATCATTTGGGAAATATTTAAAAAAGTAAACAAAATTCAAAGGGGGGCTAATAATTCTGACTTCAATAATGCTTGTTATACTATTGTTAAAATTCCAAAGGTAGCAGTATGTCCATGATGGATAAAAATAAACCACAAATCCAACCGTTCTTCACACTCAGCTTTCAGCTTGTACATCATTTTTTTTTTAGCACAACCTTATTATTTTAAATTATTTGTTTCATGTAGTCATGTCAAGTGCAAAAATGTGAAAGTAAGGTCATATCATTTCCTTCTGATGCTAGCTGCTCATGCTTTTTCAAAAGCTGTTTTATTTTAATAATTGAATGACTAACTCTCTCTTGTAGAGAGTGGATGGATGTCCTCAGCCCTCCGATAGTTCATCCAAATCAACAGATGGCAGATGGAAAAGGAGACCACAAGGTCTCAACCAGAGGTATGACACCAGAAAAATCCCCATGCCCACCTCATATTCTCAACCCTTTGTTGCTAAAAATAAATCATGATCTAGATTTCTCTTGGAAAGAGAAGATGCGTGCTCACAAAACTGGTACAATTACATACAGGATTGATTTCTCTTTCATCTAAAACCCACAGTGATATTTCTGTGACAATGCTTGAACTGGGGGTTCTTAAAGAGATAGTGCACCCAAAATGATTTTGGCAGATATTTAAGATGTAGGTGACTTTAAAGAAAACTTTTAACTGAAGCTGTAATCTTTGGTTGACGATGGACATGCAATCAACCAGAACTTATTAAAAACTCATTAAATAATGTATGTATTTAAAGACAGAATAAAAATAATAGGCTCCTGAAGATACATTGAGGTCTAATGATGCGAAACGATCAGTTCACACTGCCAGAAACATACTCAGTGCCATTTATTAAAGCTGTGAATTAATCATCAGGAGCCATGGGTATACATTTTTGTTCCCTACATATAATTTTGTTTGTTTGTTTGAGCCTTAAAGTGCTGCTAGCAGCTTGCATTTCATGAATCACCAAGAACCACAGTTTCAGGCAAATGTCTTTTTAAATACTCTGCTGAAGAATTTGATTAAAACTCGATTGTTATCCCTTTTTTGATACTGTCCAAGCGTGTCCAGCCCTAACGTTGGTAAATCCTACGCGTATATATATTTTTAAAAACCATTCATTCATTTATGCATTAATTTATTCATCCATTCATTCATTCATTCATTCATTCATTGTCCTTCGGCTTAGTCTCTTTATTAATCATGGGTCACCACAGCGAAATGAACCGCCAACTTATCCAGCATATGTTTTACCCAGCGGATGCCCTTCCAGCTGCATCCCATCACTGGGAAACATCCATACATACTCATTCAATTTAGCTTACCCAATTTACCTATAACATGTCTTTGGACTTGTGTAAACTGGAGCACCTGGAGGAAACCCACGCCAACACAGGGAGAACATGCAAACTCCACATAGAAATGCCAACTGACCCAGCCAAGGCTCAAAGCAGCAACCTTCTTGAAGTGAGGCGATCATGCAACCCACTGCGCCACCATGACACCCATTTTTAAAAACCAACAACAACAACAACAACAACAACAACAACAACAACAACAAAAAATACTGATAAAGTAACCAAATGTATACTTGTTTGTGGCTTAAAATTTTGTAACAGATATAATTTGTCTCCATTTGTTGGATAGGGGAGGGCGGGGCACAAAGTAAAATGTAACACAAAGTTTTAAGGTATTTGCTCAGAGTTAATTATGGCATGCTAAAAGTTCGGTGAAATTTGGATAAGAAACATGGGAGAAACCATTCTTGCAGCATAAAAGTATTTTTTATTATAGTCAATATTTTTTTATTTCAAAAAATCTGTGAAAAAATGTATGTAAAATCTTGTATTGTTGTGATCACCGTCTTCTAGGCTAAAAGATGAAACCATATTGAAAGATGTGAAAAACACAGTGACTGCTACAGTTTTGAGGAAAACACGACACAGCGGAGTTAGTTGTAAAAGGGTGTTACAATTAAGCCACACACTGTTGGACACCAATTAAACTAACAATTTTTTTTTTTTATTTTGAGTGTAATGTTAAGAAATTTTTATATAAAAATATTTTTTTATTTAAAAAAAAAATACAGAAAAAAACATTTTTTTTTGCTTATAATGCAAATAAATGCATTATATAATACTGGTGAAATGGATAATAATGCAAATAGATTCAAATTTGTTGATCCAATAAACATTTAAATAAATAAACATGCTGTTCTATGTAGAATAAAAAAAGAAATGAGGAAATATAGCTACTATTTAAAGTAAACAGAGGTCAAATTAACTGTGTGAAATCTGCCTTTGTAACCACGTGTTACAACTAACCCCCTGTCTGTTACAACTTGCCCCGCAGGTGGGGTAAAAAGTAACATTTTTACTCCTGCCACTATTGGCAATACCACACAGAAACTTCCAGGGATCCTAATTTCAGTGCTCATTTGTAGGAAAGGCTTGTGTGTTCTCGATGAAAAAAATTATGGTTTGTCTTACTTTGTTCATTTTTTAACCCAAAACCAAAAAGTGTTACTTTGTGCCCCGCTCTCCCCTATATGTAACATCTTTTTCTCTTTCCACAGGATCAAAGTTTCATGACAACAGTGAAGAAGAAGAGTTTCTCAATTTAATGTATGACTCCTGCCTCAACTGTTACTTTGATCCACAATCTGGAAAATATTACGAGCTGCTTTGAGACTGAGCTTATATCAGGTTTTAATGTTTGTTGATCAGTACTGCCACTGTGTGTGTGAATTTAGTTAAAACACCATGCTGTCATTTATAACATTTACTGATTTAACATTAACATTTTTTGGATTCAACGTGTATATTTTTTGTTACTATTACTAACATGATACTGTTTATTGGTTACCAATACAGAATTGATTTAAAAATTGTATTATTTATTTACAAAGCCGTCAATAATCTTGCTCCTTAGTACCTTATTGACTTGCTTTGTCCATATACCCCCTCTCGATCATTGAGATCTTATCATCTCAATTTATTCACCATGCCTAGAACAAGCCTTAAAAAACGAGGTAATCGAGTATTTGCTGTTGCTGGTCCTAAACTTAAGAACAGTCTAACAATTCACATCAGACTTTCCCTCTTCATTTCTGTGTTTAAGTCTGTTTTAAAGACCTTTCTATTTTCTCTCGCTTTTAAATACTCCCTGATCACTGTTTTATTGCTTTTATTTGTCCATGTTTCTTTTATATTCTGCTCCTCTGTCTTTCACACTCCTATGTACAGCACTTTGGTCAACCTTGTTGTTATTAAATGTTCTTTATAAATAAATATTGTATTGTATTGTATTGTTTATATTAGTAATGAATTAACATTCATATAAATTCAAACAATCTTAATTTAACTTTATTTGTATGTAAAATAAACCATGTTTCAGTTTCATTTCAGTGTTACATTGTTGTTATAGTACTTTACTCAAGTCTCGTAGACAATATGAAGTGAAACTAACACAAAGTATGCTTTAACTTTAATTTAATTAACTGTTTTTTAAAATTATGATCCTACCGTAAATGTTCCCGCTGAGACACGATCGGCCAATCACACGCCGCTTCCTCCTTTACGTCATCTGACAGGTAGAAGTACTAGGAAGTAAACGACAACAGAAATGGCGAGAAGGTCGCTCAAATTTAGCCACTACTCTAAAATGTTACTCAATTTGATTCTATATAGTGTTTTTTGGGAGTTCGTATTTGCCTTTTCGACACGTCGCGACTCAAGACAGTCTGGAAGTTCGGAGAAACCCACTTCAGCTGCTCCAAATGATCAACAGGTTTGTTATTGTACCCGTCACTTCCCTGTCAGTTTGCACACTTTAAACCTCCCTGTCAGTTTGCACACTACAAACTATCCCTAATCTCTCATTTTGCAGGTTGTAAGGCTTCATTCAGGAGTTATTGCGTCTGTTGTGGTCGTTGTTATAGGTGCAACAGCAGCTGCTTTCTTCATCATACGCAAATACTGCTTTCCACAGAGGTGCAGCACAGTACATTTAACACCATTTGCTTTATGTAACAGCGCAACTTAATATGTTAATTCTGACACCACGTTTTTGTAGGAACACTTTTTCAATATAGCATATTTTGCAATAATTTATGTTCATTTAAATAATACTTATGCTCAAATCAGTACCAATCAGTAAGGTATTTAGTTGAACAAAATATGTATTAAGGTAAAGTTGTTGTTTTTTATTAGCACATTCGTTCAGTGAAAACTTGTGACATGCGTCCTATATTGTTTACCATGGTACTTTGAATATTCGGTTTGAAATTTAAGTATGACGTCAAAACAACATTAGCCCTATTTATTTGACTAAACCCTGTTGTACTTTGATAGTCATTGGCTGCTAATTTGATTTCACCATTTAGTATTTGCAAAGAAGACTTTTCTGAAATTATTGTTATATTATTAAGGACAATCATGAATGTTTGAATATAAAACCAACTTTACTGCCCTTAAAAGGTCTTTAAAAGTCTTAAATTCCCTGAAATATTGACATGTAGGTCTTAAAATAGGCCCATGCGGAATCTGCGCACACAGACTACTATGAAAATTTTCATCTGATTTATGTACAATCTGTTATGTAGTTTGTAACGTAATATTTTCTGTCTTTTAGTAGATATATTATATGAGAGACTTGCTTTGTTTACCTAATAAAGTGAATCTAATTGGATTTGCATTTTAAAGATTTAATAAAAGTTAAAAAGATATTATTTTTATTTTACATATTAATGTTTTAGTTTTGATACTCTTAAAATAATTCTGCAGAAATCTGCAGATTTTTAGCAAAATTCTCCACAGAAATAGCAAAAAATGTCCGCAGATTCCCTCTGGCCCTATCTTAAATCATTCCAGGTCTTAATTTCCCCTTGTTTATGTGAAGTTACTAAATCAATCCAACACACACATCACCAACAGTCTCATCTCAGTAAAACTCTGTTTGTAACTAATATTATAACAGTCTGGTGTGCATACATTTAGTTTATTATAATTTTTTTTTAAGTTATCTTGGAGAAAATTACATGTATACAACTAGAGTCTGCTTGACTTGTCACATTGTTTGAAATATGTGGCTAAGAAATAACCAATAATTTAAATTTGTTTCTTTATAGGGCATGTTAAAAATGCTTGGTGTTTAGCCCCATAAAAATCTGAAATTTTGTTCTTGATATTTAAAAAAAAGAAAAGGTCTTAAAGAGTCTTAAATTTGACTTGGTGAAACCTGCAGAAACCCTATTATAAAATGTGTCCGTATCAAATAAATATTTAAAAAGGCATTTTATGCAAATAAAGTGTATATATTTCAAATAAAATTTCTAAATATTTTTCAAGTAAGATTAATACTACTAAGAAGAAATAATATTATTTGTCAGCACAGCAGATCTATTTAAGTAAAAATGAAAGCACATTCTGTACTTTTTATTTATTTATTTTAGATTTATGGTACTACATTTTAGTTTAAATGATTATAAATGACTTGCTTTCGACAGTTTTTTGTGCAGATTGTAATGCATTATATGTTTTTGTTTTATTTCAGTAATGCTACCTATAGATACTCAGAACTGCAACAAATGGAAGAACAGAATACAGCGATAGATCAGGAAGATTCAGATGAGGTTAGTATGCATGAAATTTTGAAATTAACTCTAATGATCACCAAAGCTATTCGTCACTTTTTTATTCTAATGCCATCCTTTCTTTCCTCAGGATCTTTTGGAGTGATCGTACCACAATTTATCCTTCACATATCTCTTACTTTTTAATACTGTGACTTTATATGGCCCAAAGCATCACATGGGTCATTTACAAACCACAAGGAGTTCCTGAAATATTTATTTCTCTTCTCTTCTATTCCTCCGAATGAATACCAGTTAAATTTAGCTGGTGAAATTGGTCAGAATTTTAGAGCCAAGATGTCTAGTGGCTCAGAAATATGAAGTTGCACATTAGAGATGAAAGTTACTGTTTTATATCTTATGAGAAGATCTGTTATGATGGCCATCCCTTAAAGCTTGGTCAAACTGCTTTTTTAACAGCACTGATGAACGTATTTAGTATTTCCTTGACTTTCTCAATGCAATGTTGTACCAAAGTCTGTTGAAATGATTGTTTCCCTTTATTTATTGCGTATGTTTGTGCCTGACTTTTAACAGCTTCATGATCTCAGGGTTGTTCACACTGGAAACTGAACACTGCCAGAAGCCCCAACTGACTATAATCCCATCTTTTCAACTGTAAAAGTTGATTTTACATTTCAGTGCCTTACTGAAATTGGTGTATTCATCAACTATAGTTACTCTCTTATGCTGGTATTGGTATTTGCTGATGGCAGTGTTCAATATGAGCTGTATTAAAATGGAATAGTTCTCCCACAAATTAAAATTTACTTGCATTACTCGCCCTTAAGTGGTTCCAAAATGTTTTTACTTTTTTTTTGTTTAACACAAAACAAGATATTTTGAAGAATGTTGTAAACCGTCTACCATGTTCTAAAAACATCTACTATGGAAGTCATTGGTTACCAGTTTTAACATTCTTCGAAATATCTTCTTATGCGTTCAACAGAAAAAAGAATCTCGAACAGGTTTGTGACAATTAAAGGTTGAGTAAATGATGACAGAATTAAAATTTTTGGTGAACTAACCCTTTAAAGTGATGAAGTAAATACAGCAATATTATGTACCATAACTGTATTTCTAAAAGCTCGGTTCATGATTATGAATTATTTTTAATGATTGAATTCTTCAGATTTGTTTTGTATGTTTGCACTTTCTTAACTAAGACTACTTCTTAATACTTGACTGTGTTTAAATAAATTAATATACATTATTATTGTGCGTTTGATGATTATGCAGTGTTTGCAATGTAATGTTTTTCCACAAGAGGGCAGCAAACAACTAAAATTAATCTGCATTTGACAGCTCTCCTATTTCTAGGTCAGGAGAGGCTGGGTTTGTGTTAATTTACGGGTAAATTTGCCACTCCTTCAGGTAGATCCTGTTTTACTGCACTGTTGTTCTGACTACCATTCAAACAAGTAAGAAGTGAAATGACGTATAAAACCAAATGTGGTTTAAGATAGCTGTGTATTAAAAATTTTAATGTTTTCAGGTGTTGAGAAGACTTCTTTTAGTGCTGCCAAAAATGAGACTTCAAGGTAAAGTAATGCTTTTCTTCTAACTTGTATTCTTTTTTTGTTATTTATGTGTATAATGTGCACATATTGACTGTTTTCCAGATCGCATGTGTGTTCTCACAACAATACTGATCCTATTAATATTGTGTTTCTACATCAACGTGTCAAAACTCAAAGAAGCTGCAACACGATCATGTAACATGCTTTGGGATCACATGGCAGCATGTAAATATGATAAACATTTTAAATATGTTATAATACAGTCATCATTTTGTCTAAGGGCTGTTTTATATTCCAGATGAAGTTCTTGGTGTTGATACAGACTGTGACATTCAGGGTAAGCTTAAATGGGTAGTTCACCAAAAAATTTAAATTGTCTGATTATTTATACACACTCAAGTGGTTCTGAACTGTAATGAATTGTTATGGTAGGAGCAAAAATTAAATATTATGAAAGTCAATGGCTGTTTTTTAAGCATTATTTAGGATATCTTCCAACAGAAGGAAGAAACACAAGCCGATTTGTACCAAATAGAGGATGACTAAATAATGACTTTTTTTATTTTTTATTTTATTTATTTATTTATTTATTTATTTATTTATTATTTTTTTGGATGAACTTTATAATATAATTTGATATAATTATATAATTTAACTATATAATATAATTGTGTACATTTATTTATTAGATGGAATGTCATTCCTTTTTTTATTATTT